TGCTTATAACTCGTAGAAGGGATAATGCGAGTTACTAAAGTTTTAACAGATTCGTGTTAAAATTTTAACGCACATTAACTCCTTCGGAAGTTATAAGCAGGGTCATGTTTGAGGTCGAAAATATGTGGAAATATATGGATAACTTCACTCAAGCAATGATATTCTATCACCTAACAAGCTGAGGAACCTTAAATTAACAAATTCCCTTTTTCTTGTATTCAATTTGGAACACACGGTATAATACGCACTTTTAATCTACTCAGCTAACTGCTGCGCCGCCCCTGGCCTCGGCACTGAATCCCCGGTAAAACACCGACCTCCATCTTAGCTCGCAATCTATAACCTACCGAACTTCGTACACGCCATCAGTCTAATTTCGTCCAGACGTGTCGCCTTTCCTTCGGGACCACCCGTGTCTGTTACCAACATGCAAATTTGACGTCCCTGATCGATTCACGCTATCGCGTTGTGAAATTCTGTGCTCGTGGGGTCGCATCATTCAGATGTTTCTCGAGACGTGCTCTCCGGGACCGACTGCGTTTTTATGGAGTACAAAATGTCTAAGGGTTGGTGAGTAATGTAATGGATAATGGATTATTGAAGTGATTTTTTTTCTTCATTACAAGAGTTGTTTCCCATTTTTTATTCTTTAGTAGAAAATATGCAAATTTTAATACTTCCACCTAAGCCGTTGCAATCGCAAAAAAACTGTCATTCTAAATACGAAAGATGCACTTTGTAATCTAGTTTTAAAAATTACAATTTTTATGTGACATGATAATAGGTTGACTTTATTCCCATCTTGAAATGTGAAAAAATGTCATTTTTTACGAGAATGAGAAAATATGGTGCTACGTAAATAACTTAACCCATGAATGTTTTGTGTAAAGTTTTAACATTTACGCGTAAGTAATTTTCTTTTGAATTTGATTATATTTATTAGAGATCCAACAGATTAAAAACTTGCAGTGTATTCGACACGGAATTGTCATTTTCCAATCATATTGAATATGTGATAAGTTCATCCTTCAAAATGTTGAGATTCATCATGAGAAATTGTTCTAGATCTGATAATATGCTAGCTCTTAAAATATATTTTTGTTATGTTCCAAGTTAGAATATTATAGTGTGGTCCCCGTATTTAAATGTTCACATTTAAAGAGAGTTCAGAAGAAATTTCTGAATATTTTAAATTTCAAACCAAATTCTGCAGTTGCTTTTGACCATAGATTACTTTTGGATCAATTTAATATCAATTCATTACAATCAAAAAGAGTTATTTGCAATATCAAATTTTTATATTTTTTAGTACATGATGAATCTTATTACTTGCCACTGTTAGCTAATATTGTATATTATGTCCGGCAGTTTTTGTGTCGTAAACATCCAAGTTTTCATCAGTATAATGTAATTAATAAACCATTTTAATTTGCAATGCTGAAGAATTTTAATAAAATATTCGCAATATCCTTGACAGGAAAAATTACCTCGGATGGAGCGGGGTCGAGCAGGATTATCGCTCTAGGCCCGGACGCCTCGTAGAGATAGGCCCTCTTCCCGTCATTCCGGGCCGCCAATGCGGCCGGATTCGATCGGTTCGTGGGGCCTCCTCCTGTCCTGGCTGGGCCCCACCGGCTAGGGCCCTTTCTTCTGGCGCTCTTCTTTCTTCGCTGGCTCGTCCGTGTAAACCCCGGGGGTGTCGTGTGGTTTTGGGTGAGGTCGTGCAGTTAAACAGCTTAGGAAGTGCTTTGCTAAGGTGGCCCTTAGGCTAGTGCGGGAGGGGAGAGTGGGATAAGGAAGGTAGGGGGGAATGTGTGTGTATGTCGTCGTTTTCGTCTCTTGATCCTGGCGGTCCTGAAACAGACAGACATATTTCGACTCACCCTGCGTCTAGGAGCTTTCTCGCGCGCTCTCTGATCGCTTCCAGGGCTGAGGTGAATCCCAGATCCCGGCGAATGTCGCTGTGGCCGCAGTACTACTCTGACGAGGGTTAGCTTATTCCGCAGGCAGAGACGGCTGTCCCTGCACAGAAGCGGATAAAGCTTCACCCTCACCATCCTCGCTTTGCGCGTCACAGCGTTGACGTGCGGCTTCCACGTCAGCGTGCGATCCAGGGTTACCCCTAGGCACTTGACGGTGGTCTTCTCCGTTGAACTTTACGTGTCCCTAGGGGCTCGTTCGGTATCTACGAGAAAACATAATAACTGTGCTTTTCTCCGGGTTGATCGCCACCTTCCACCTGTTGCACCAGTCCTCTAGTTGACTTACAGCTCTTTGGAGGTACCTCTTCGCCATATCGGGGTTCAGGGAACGGGCCGTTATGGCGGTGTCATCGGCGTAGAGGCACACGGTAGTGTGCTCTGTCCTAGGCATGTCGGATGTATAGATGTTGAACAGGTGCGGTGATAGCACGGCTCCTTGGGGACGCCTGCCTCGACGTCTCGATAAGTGGATAGGGCACGCACGCAGCTTCCTGCCTCTGAGGAAGGACTCCACCAGTTTGACCAGTCCGATAGGGTAGCCAAAGTCGAGCATCTTTGTCAGAAGCCCATCGTGCCAGACCCTGTCGAAGGCCTTGGCGACGTCCAGGAAGACTGCCATGGTGGATTCTCGGTTGTTGAAACCTGCGGACAGATGTTCTACTAACCTGAGAATCTGCTGCTCCATTAAGTGTCCGCTGCGGTAGGCGAATTGGTCATCGGGAATGACTCACAATTCGTGCGAGCTCTCACGCAGTCTGGTCAGGATGATCCTCTCCGCTACCTTGCTCATCATCGGCAGGAGACTGATGGGCCTGTAACTGGCAGCAAAGGTTAGATTCTTACCTGGTTTCGGGAAGAAGATGACGTTGGCTTTCTTCCACCTAGCGGGGAATCTTCGCAGTCTCAGGATGGCGTTGACGATGTTGAGCAGCGCCATCACTCCCTTGTGGGGGAGCTTTCTGAGTATTCGATTTCCGATCTGGTCACATCCGGGTGCTTTGCGGGGGTTAAGACGCCGCAGGATGTCCCTCACCTCCTCGGGTGTCGCGGGTCTAATGTCGTTCCTGTCGGGTTGGCGTCTGTAGCGCCGTACGCGTCGTTCCACCTCGTCGGCGTGGTCCTCGTCTTCATCGTCGAGAAGGTTTTTCCTACACTGTAATTCAAGGCTGTCGGCGAATGCCTCGGCCTTTTCATACCTAGTGTAGACGATCCCGTTCTCTCCGTGAATCGGAGGCATAGGCTTCCGGGTGGTCCTCAGCGCTCGTTGCATCGTCCACAGGCTGCGGTCTTCGGGGTTCAGTGACTCCAGATGTCGTTTCCACGAGTCCTGGTAGTGCTCCTCTAGGGCCGCTTTTACCCTCCGGTTCAGCTGGTTTAACGTCTGCTTATCCCGGGGGTGTGCTGTCCTCGTGGCTCATCTTTTCGCCGTACGTCTTTCCCTGAATAGGTCCTGCAACATAAGAGGTAACTCACCTGCATAATTCGCTATCCTTCTCTCCGTCGTCTCCGTGGCGCTGGCTTCCAAGGCGGTATGAATATCCGTCTCAAGGGTCGCGAAGGCAGCCTCGAGGTCCGCCTGCGTCGCGGACGACCGGAGTGGGTGCGCATATTCGTTGTATTTCTGCGCGGAATAGGCCCCAGTCGATCTGCCGCTTGGCAACAGTGTCCTCGCCGCGGCGCTCGTCTCCTAGAGGTAGGAGAATAGGAGCATGGTTCGTCGCCCTCTCGTATTACGTCGCCGTCGACGACCATCGGTATTGCCTTGAGCAAAGCGATATCCAACACGTTTGGTCTTCCAACTGCACCGTAGTACGTCGGTCCATCGGGTCCATACGCTGCAACGTCCTCGTGGTTCTGCAAGACTTGCAGAAGCACCCTGTCACGCGTGGTGGTGGTCGTGCTGTGCCATTCGGGCGATTTCGCGTTAAAGTCCCCGATAGCTACGGTTTGGGGCCACGTCTCCAGGACCGCGCGTAAATCGTGATCGGTGAGCGGGAGCTGAGGGGGCTGATAGCAGGTCACCTCAGCGATCTCTCCGTACGTACGAGTACGGATCGATACGGCGGCGGCAGCTTCCATGTTTTCTAGCTGAGGAAGCTGCAACATATAGTGATCTATACCGCTTTTTACGAGCAGGGCCACGCCTCCTCCGTGTTCGTTTCGGTCCCTGCGATACACTAGGTAGCCAGGAATCCTAACAGTGTGCGCGTCCTCTACTTTGGTCTCTTGTATCGCCATCACGTCCACGTCGAGACGGGGCAAAAGCTCCTTGAGTTCGATTTTTCGCTCCCGAAATCGGTCGACATTCCAGGAGGCAATTCTGAGGGACTGCACACTAGTCGGAGGGTTCATTTACTCCTGCAACAGAGATGGCATTTTACTGAAAAAAGCCGACATCTCCCGCATTTGTTCCAGCATACTGGCTACATTTGCGGGTTCTGTGCTCCTGTCGGTGGGGGGACCTTGGGTGCCGCGGCGGGGCCCTGCTTCGGCCTGGCGGCGTTGGAGAAGCTTTTCGCCGCCGTCACCTTCGGGGGGTGTGCTTAGACTGCTGTTTGTTGGCTTGGGGGTCCTCTTTGCGCTGATGCTTCTTGCTCCCTGGCGTCTTCTTAGGAAAGTTGGGGCATCTGCGGTAGCTGGCGGGATGTTCGCCGCCGCAGTTGGCGCACTTTGCCAAGGTCTTGCGCTTCTTAGGGCAGTCTGCTGAGTGGTGACCCTCGCCGCACTTCACACACTTGACAGCTGCGGTGCAACGGCTCTGCGCGTGACCGAAGCGCTGGCAGCGATGGCACTGCGTCGGCTCGGTCCTCGCCCCCTGTGGTTCCACTCTGACGACTAGGTGGCAGCATCTTGTCACCTTGAGCAAGTCCTCCTGCTCCTGAGGGACTTGTACAAGTACTAGAGGCATGGGTACCTTGTTCCTCTGGGAGAGAGATGGTGGAATTCCTTCCCCTCGTCGACGAGGACACGCGTGAGCGTCGATAATCATCAGGCGTTTGCGGGTGAATAGCGATGCCTTCACCTGTGAACCTGGCCCTGGTGTAATTTATTTTCCTGTTCAGGGGCCGCGCGCTCTGATGTCGTTGCTGGTACGATCTCGGGGACCTTCGCCTGTTCGGCGACAGGTGCTTCGTTCGCTTTTGCTGGCTTATTTTTAGCCTTGCAGGACTCCTCCTCGGAATCCGACGAGGTCCCTGGCTTACCTCGCTTTACTCCTTTGTCCCTGTTGTCCCTTGAGGGCATTTAACAGCTGGGCGTGCTGTCCTCGAGACCTCTTTTCAAAGTCCTCGAACGCCTTCCTCTGTTACCTCAATTCATCTCTGAGGTCGTCGATCATTTGCCGTGGTCTGTCATTCTCTGCTGCCAGCTCACTCTCACGGCTAGTTGTCGTCTCCACGACGGACCTGGGGGTGCTAGGCCTGCTGTCGCCGGCTTCGCTGCCACTCGAGCGGTCGCTCTCCATGGGGGTCGAAGATCTCGACATGGTGCCCTCCTCCCCGGCACCCGAATCTGTAAAATAAATTCCGGCGGTGTCTCTGCCTAGGCTGAGATAACGTCGGTCGTTAGTAGAAATTTTGCAATATAAATTTGCCGAATTATTTCTATAGATGGCCTTAATAAAGGCAGAATATTACTTGTCTTGTAAAAGACATATTTTGTGGGGCTTCCACTTCACAGTTCCTCGCACTGACACTCACTGCTGCACTGCACAAGCTACGTCCGCACATTTCGGCTGTTCGCTTGGAACTAACAAAATATTTAGCATTTGTGACAGTTTGATTAAATTTATTGTACCTATATAATCACATTTCTGCAGGTTTCGTTATTGTTTATTATTTCTGTAACAGCATCCAATGTATGCGTATGTTTCGCATGTTTTCGGTTATTCCGATTTTGCTGATTACAGTAATGTATACATGTCATATAATTGCTTTGACAATTGGCACAATATTTTGCTTTATTTACTGATCCTGTACTTGATCAAGATTGCTATGGAACTACTGCGTAGGTATTTTATCCGCTGTTAAATTAAATTTTTCTCCTGTCGTCACAAAACTATGACATTTTTTGACTGAGAAACAAAAGTGGTATCTTAGTAACAAAAAATTCACTTTTAATCCTAGAAGCTAAAGTTGACACTTTAATCCTTATATTAAAACTGTTAATCAAGTTTTAATTTACACTGGTATTAAATACACAGTTTGAAGAAGTATTAAAATTAAATAAACCACTGAAACTGCCATTACCCTCATTCTTGGAACAATTCTCAAAGCAGTCCAACACGTTTTCATTAATAGTTATATTATTTTCAAATGTAGTGAAATCAGAAATGACAACGGTGCTTGGTTTATCATTAGCACTATCAACTTTCAGTATTCTTTTCGCAATATTTTCTTTATTCAAAAATGAGTCTTCAACGTAGCCTTCCGCTACAGTGCTCTATCTCCATCCTCTGTGTCTTTTAAGACACCGCCGTCACTATCACCGTCAACTGAAAGGCAGACGTTCTACCAATCCGGGTGGATGTAATGCAACATATTTTCGATAAAAACTTAAATAATTGTCTCCCAGCACAGCAAAAGAACGTGGTCTCTTGGTTTTGGTATCGGGAATTTTTATAATTAAGGCGGATTTCACATCTACATTATCAATTGTTAACTTGACTAATTCAAGCTTTTTAAAAATTTTGGTCTTTTATTTTTAAAGCGTTTACTTTCATCATTAAATATAAATTATCAGGTGCACTATTCAAAAAGTAATTAACTTGGTCCTTTGTAAATACTCGCGATTTTATTTTTCGGGTCTCATTCTGTCTCTTGAGAAACTTTGAATATTTGCTTATATTAATCCCTTTCCTTATATCCAACATTGACCGCAACATTGAACATTGTGACCAAAGCGTTGACGGCCTCATTTTATTTGCTAATTTTGAGAAATACACTTTCAATACATCTTCTGAGTACAACTTAATGTTTTTTTCTTGGCACCATTCCATTTTTACAGTTTTTAGAAAATTTAACCTATTATCCAAATTTGGTTTGAATAATTTCAAAGCACAAATAAATAATTAAATGGGAGATTTTGGTTGGAGAAAAAAATAGCATGGTTTATTCGGATCAAAAGTGTCTTTTTTGCCTGGCAATTTTGCATCCGCTCGATTATGCTACGCTTCGCCTCGCAAATACAAAATTAATCCTAATATAACAATATACTATTTTTTTACGAACACTTACTTATATCTCAGGAATGAAGCGTTTACTCTTTACTTTTAAAATTTTGAACACTTTTGTACATTCTCAAATAAATCGTGTTCCAATAAAACCACAAGTTTATATCTCTGAAAACCAACATTTATTTCTTTGAGATCGCAGGAAAATTTCCTCAAGATTTAGTCATCACCATTTTTTTTCTCTGCATAGAAAGTCAAAAATATAAGGGGGGAATATCATGTGAATTTCCTGTTACATACTTATTTCAGTTGAAGAGTAGGCTTGAATAAGGGGCTAAGTACAAAAACAGAAAATTTTATTTTTCTTTAAAAATATGTTAAATACCATGCTTCATGTCCTCTAGGAAGGACTAAGTACAAACGAATTGGCTCAACAGGTGGCGCATCTGTGTAAATTCGAGCGTCGCGTCGTTTCCTATTAAAGTGCCATATTATTTTGTACGTTTGTACGTGACACATTATTTTTCCTGCATCACCCATTTCGCAGTGTTTGTTCTCTTGAAAGTATTTTGTTTGTGCGTTTGTGCGTAATATATGCGTATATGGTGAATATGGAAAACGATAATAATACTAAGAAAAATAATATTTTTCTTAGTATTATCATCGTTTATTATCAGAACTGGAATTAAGTTTAATGTCCAACAAAAACTTAAAGTGTCCGGCAAAGAATATGTGTCTCGAAAAGGAAAGTAAAAAAGCAACCAGAACTTGAGGTATGCTACATTTGAGGCCCAGAAAGTGTTTTTCTAATTGAGATGGTATGCAAACGTTATAAGCAGCTACAGAAAAAGAAAAACAGAATATATGGTGTGACAACTGCACCGGGCAGAATAAGAATCGGGCGGAAATATTTTTAAAGCTGTTTTTAACATCTATTGATCTATTCACAGAAATAATAATAGTAATAATAATAAATCGTCTTTATTAGAAGCAGATAATGCAAATATAAAAATAAAGAAATAGAAAAAAATACAGGGAAAAATTCGCAAACTCATGGCGAAGTCTAGCGAAAGCTATTCACACTCAACCATGTGTATGCGATAGCATGTAACTTCAAATACATAAAAAACACCAGACAATCGCTCAGAAAAGAATCAATAACACAATTAAAGTAAAATACAGTTACCTAACAATAATCAAAAGTTTAAAATCAAAATCCTCAACTATAAACTATAAAATCAGCTGTCCAAATTACTATGAAATTCCTCGTTAGCGGTCACAGCTACTTACCGTCGATCGTCATTTCGCACAGATTGAAATAAAAAGAAAACTTAAAACATGTTTCGTACCTGAGGACACAAAACAACTCATAAAAGATACAGCCATACAGAGTTGTAAAAATGGAACCCAGATACTTTTTAAACTTGCAATAAGTTGCGGATTCTTTAATATCTACTACTAAACTTTCAATATTGACCTTGTCACAGATACGAGTTACGAAAAATAACCTAGGATACGTGATTATTAAGTCGCCCAGTGATATCCAAAGTTGGCTCTTTAGAAAAATATACCTATCTGAAGACCAAATAAAAAACGTTCAGATAGTTGGACAGGAATTAACACCAGAGCTTAATGCAGCTAAAAAAAAGCAAAATTTACGTGCTATGATTCCATATCTTGATTTACCAGAGCACCAGGAGTTCTACCGAAAACTTACAGCATAGTTGCCATACTTACCTATCATGAAAAAGATAGCGGTACTAAACCCTTTTCCAAAATTTTTTGATTTTTGTGTGTTTTTCTTACTATGTATATGTTAAAAGTTTGCAAATAAACCATTTTGTCAAATTACAAAGATTTTTATTTAAACGGTTAAACTAATCGGTTTTTTACTCTCCTAAAAAATTTTAACCCCTTATTCAAGTCTAGCTACTCTTCAATTTGGTTCTCTGCAAACTTTTTTCAGAGTACGTTATGTGCATACAGCATTATTGTAGGAAGAGGATTTTTATAACGTTTTTAATACATTCTACATCCCTACAACATTTGATATTGTCACAAAAATATTTTTTATAATTTCTTTTACAGGAAAGAAGATTTACAGGGAGTGTACAAAACAATATTTTTGGTAAGTTTTTCAGTAGGTACTTCTGAACAGTACCGTATAGATACCTCTTCTCATTAGAAATCGACATTTATCATAAACAGAATGTTTGAAAAAAACTGCTAAAAAGTAAATTAAGTTTTACACAGTTATCCTAAATTCACTAGAGTTAAATGTATCTTATTATATTTTTTAAAAAAGTTAATGAAAAATAGTTTCAGAAACAAAATGTAATATAGCATCTGTTTGCCTACAGCTATCTAATCTTTTTTTGATTTATACGCCTTAGTAAATACATTTAAAAAAACTTATTTTTCGATTTTTCGCATTATTGAAGTTATGTTTATAAGACTTTTTTTTAGCAGAACTAGTATTGTATAATAGACACATAGATGAACAGTTAACAAAATTCTTGCGATAAATTAACACGTGCCCAGGAGGATCGACAGCTATGCGCAAATGGTAAATTATATTGAAATTTCGAAAACACCGAGTGGGCTATACAAACAGAGGAAGAAATTCTGAACATTGTCGAAGAACAACCAACCTCTGCCACCAATCAAATTTTTCGTAAGATTAATGGATCTTCCAATAAATTTGGGAAAACCCTACACAAAAACCATCTGTATCCATAACACATTCGTCGTGTACAAGCGTTCTAATCAAACGGCCATCATGCCAGTATTCGTTTTGTTGATTAGAAAAAAATAATGAGAATGAAAATTGCACTAAATGTGCGTTGGTTACTGACGAGGTAACATTTATATGAGATAGAATAAATAATCTTTATATTAGCCGCGTATCCCCAAAATCCCCATAAGGTCCAAACAATGAGTTTCAATTATTTTATGAACGGGCATTGTTAATGATATCGCAACAGGATCTTTTGTTGTACCACAAATATTAAGTGGTGGTCACTATTTTCATAGTTCACAAAATGATTTATTTATGCGACTACACTGTAAAAAAAAAATCACTTAATTTTAATCAATAATGTATTAATTTCTGTCCACACCCGATTGAGTGAAATTTTCACTCTATTAATATGAGTACAACTAAAATTATCTCTATATCGATATCAGTAAATAGGTTAAAAAAGAAGAAAGGCAGTCTCGAATCGAAACGCACACGCGATACCTAGATTGTCTAGTTTGAAGTAATTTAGTTTATTGTTATTGTTTATTATTAAGAACTTATTGAGTTTTACAGTGACAGACCAAAAACTAATTTTGCCCAAAGGTAAGTCCGCTAATTTCAATAACGAATATATACTACGTCTATTTTGTATAAATTATAACCGGTCATTGTGCCAAAGAAAACCTTTAATTCGTTAGAAATAAAAAGTAACCGTTCGTATTAGGCTGTCGTTTCGTTTTTGCATCGATGTGTAGAATTTGAGGTTTTTGTATTTACTTTGTTTACCTTTTCCAATAAATATTCCCTTTATAGTAATAAGCACATTATTTTCGAAATTAAGTCGCTTATTATTACT